CCGCCAGCAGGTGACACTGGTGACACTGCTGGGACCTGCTCGTGGCTTTGCTGCTGCAGTGACCGGGCAGGGTGAGACCTGAGGCTCTGGGCAGTCCCTGCTGTAACTTCGGATTTCAGAGCCCCGTGAGGATTTGCCCTCAAATCTCAGGCTCTAATGGAGGGTGTTTTGGTTTAGATTCACAGCTGGGTGGGGATGTTGGGGTGAAGGGGCCACTGCTGCCATGGGTCAGTGCCAGAACCAGCACCAGGATGTGCTGGGCAGCACCAGGACACGGAGAGGACTGGGCTGCCCAGGGAATGTGACAGTCACAGCACTGGAGAGGGAACCAGTGACTCCTGCCTGCCCTGAGGGGTGAGGGAGTCTGAGCCTCTGTGAGAGAAGGGGCTCCTGCCCGTGCTGGGGTCCCTCTGCTGTCACCTTTCAGACTTCCTGGGCTGGCCGAGCTCCTCTGCATGGAGGAGGACAAGGGGTGAGAGGATCTACCACACTTGGGTGTTGTGTAGATCCCTCCAAGCCAGTGGCCAGCCCAGGGCCTGGGGACATGTGTGACCCAGCGCCACACTCAGCAGGACACGGGCGCCCACGGGGGTGCCCAGCTGCACCCCCTGCCCACAGCCATGCCCAGGACCCCCAGAACATCCCCCTGGGGTCACCAGAGCTCTGCCCCAGGGACAAGAGTAAGGGTCCTGCTGTGTCCTCTCTAGGGGCTGCCACAGCCCCCCCAGTGACAGCTCCTGCCCAGCAGTGACTGACCAGAGCTCTGCCTGCTATGCAGTGTGACAACATTTGGAGATCCTTGGCAATGAAAAGCACTTGAGAAACACATCGTTATTAACTGCTCGGGAGCAAACACGGAGAAGTGAAACCCACGAGGAGATACAGCAGCTTAACAACAGGGTGGAGACAGGGGGACAGGACGACAGGGAGGCAGCTCCAGGGGAAAAGCAACAGCGCGAGTTGTTGGCGGGTGCCGCGGAGCCGGGAACAAACCCCCCGGCTGCTGGGAGGTGTGGGCAGCGCCCAGAGCTCCTGACATCTCTGAAATGCCCCTCGAGACACACCCGGACTACTCGGCACAGCAAACCCTCTGCCTGTCCCCCCGCAGCCCCACCGGCCACCAGCATCTTACCGTGCTGCGACCACAGGTGACTTCTTCCCGGGATCTAAGGTGGACCCGGCGGGTTCCTCCCCCAGTGATCGTGTATCCTTGTTCAGTTGCTGTAGTCGGGAACTTAGCTCACTGATCACAGTTGGCTTGTCATCATCAGCCCCATGGATGGGCCTGCTCTCCATGGGGTCCCCCCATAGCTTGGACCTTCTCTGAAAGAGGTAGCGTGGCCGGCCGATGCTGGCTGACGCCAGCGTGGCCGCATGTTGCTGGGAGATGAGCTCGCTGTCCGAAGACTGCTTCAAAAGTGGGTCCCTGAAAGTAACTGGCCCCTTGCTGAGCTGGGACTTGAGTTTTGGCTTTGGAGGCACTGGTGGCTTCTCGAGTATAAAAGTTTGTCCATCCGCAAAGGAAGTGTATGTGTCAGTGGGCTCCCCGCTTTCTGAGGACAACGTAGACATGCTGGAGACCGTCGAGATGGTGCTTGTGGTCTCCAGGTGATGGTCACTTGAACTTCTGGTGTCCACCTCTTCCACTCCGGAGTCTGCAGCAGACTCTGGGGCTACGGGGGCATCAGAGGGCTTCCCTGAGGGTGTTCCGCCAGTGGTAGAAGGTGCTACTGCTGCCGCTGGTATGGATGGCGTGCTGGGCGTAGCCAGGTGGCTGACTGGTGTGCCAGGGGTGGTGACCAGTACCCCGTTCGCAAACTCGTCTGGTGGAGGCACCAGCCCTATCTTGGCCAGCTCCTCCCGGGTCTCTTCGTCACTTGAAGACAGCTGAGCTGGGGGGAGGGTGACCGTGTAGGGCTCCACTTCTTCCTCCGAGCTCCCTTGTCCCAACGTCTTGTCAGAGGCTGGACTGACCGGAGGTTTTCCCACGGGGCTGGGCTGGGTCTCTGCTTTGGGGGACTCTGCTGGCTCCGTGCAAGCTTCAGGGACAGCTGGTTTCTCCTCTTTGATCTCAAGTCCTATCTCGTCTTGGCCATTACTTGTGGCGTGAACCATGATGAGGCCAGCGGTCTTCTGCTGCGATGTATCCACTATGCTAATAATCATGGACTTCTTGTCTTCTTGTTTCTTCTCCTCCTTCCCAGGTGTTTCTGCTCTCGCCTCGGTTTCTTTTCTCAGTGTGGACGGAGTCCCCCACGGGCTCTTGGTAGGGGCCAAAGTCCCAGAGTCTGGTCCGACCGCCCCTTTGCCTCCAGGGGAGTACGCGGGGGACACCAAGCTCTCCAACTCCCCCCTCTCTGGTTCTTTGGTTTGGATGTCCACAAAGAGGGGTGCTGCCCTCTCTGAGTCGGGGCTGTGGATCGGGGTGGGCGACCGGGATGGGACTTGGGTGGAGAGGGCCCGTTCCCTTGCGGCCAGCGCAAGCGCCAGTGGCGAGTTGGGATCCAGGGGCTTTCCCGTCAGCGGGTGGATGAAGGTTGAGGATGAGCTGCTAATTAATGGCTTTAAAGCTGAGACGGGGGAAGGCAGTAGAACATCTCGGCTTCCTAACAACCGCTCATCGATGGACCTGGACTGCTGCAGGGAGGGCATGTCGCTGCTGGGGGGGCTCCCCTCCATGGCCCCGACCGAGAGGAAGACAGTGGATTTCCGCCTCTCGTCCAGGCGACGGTCCCGGTCCTTCATCACCCCCGCCATGGCCGTGGCGAAGGGGATGCCCGTGGCCTCCACCTGCGCGATGCCCGCGTGGTGCTGGAACTCCACCCCGCCGAGGCGGTGGCTCCTGCGGGTGGGAGAGGGCTCCCTGGTGAAGCCCCCGGTGATGGACAGGGCTGCTCTCTCCTGCGCGTCCTCCCCTTGTAGCTGCTTCACCAGAGGACTCTTCTTCCTCTGTGGCTTTGTGGGAGCGAACAGGCTGACGTTGAACTGACCCATGTTGGCGTAAGGGTTGTCGATCACTCTCCCCTTCCTCTTCAGCTTCTCCGGAGGGGTCGCGGAGGGGCCGGGCCGGGGGATCTCTGTCGGCTCCACGGGGAGATGAGAGGAATCCTGCAGGATTATCATGGATCGGGCCCTCTTCTGCCTCTCAGGGTAAGGGATGGAAGTTCTCGCCTGGTCGTACATCTCGGCCGCGCTAATCACCTGCGGGAGCCCGTGGAGTTTGGCCTCCAGGCTTGGCTTAAAGCTTGACCTTATGGTATCGTAAGCTCTTCCTGGGGGTGGGGGTGGTGAGAAGGATGGAGGGGGGCCTGTGTCAAAGTAGTATGGAGAAGGAGGGGGGGGGCCGCTCTGAGGTGGTGGCGGGAGCCCGTGTCCTTCCCTAACAGTGTCTTGCATCGATGTGCTCCGGGGAAACTTCCCATCTAGCAAAGAAGCAGCAAGTTTCTCGTCTTCGCCTGGAAAACAAGCACAGCAGGGACATCAGAGGGGGCATCTGCAGGGACCCCAGAGCCACTCGTTGTGTGTAGGACACCCCTTCCCCC